CTACCCCCACTAACCTCTGCCGCAATTGGACCCTCTCTGGCCAATGTATACTTCCTGGCCAATTTGATACTGTCTTTTCGTAATCTTCAAGCAGATCCTAGGGTGGCAAAAAGACAGTATAAAATTGGCGCCAGACAGTATCCATTGGCCAGAGAGGGTCCAATTGGCCACCCAAGGGTGGGGGAAGCGACAAAAAAACGGACCATATATATAAAAAGGTAACGATCATAGCCCATGAACCTCAACCAATGCATGTGTCCTGCTATGCTTTCCTTCTCTTCTGGGATGGGAGGTTTCACTCATGCTATCCATAGTTTTTCAAACGTCTTGTAAACGCCTTATTTTTCCATTGCAAAAGTGGCTGCGGGAATATAAGTTGTACCTAACTTGAGTTCGCAGTCGCTTAGTCCATGTCCTTTTATTTGTATTCATCACTGTGCTTCTGAATAAAAAAAAACTCTGCTTGGTGAGTACGGGGCAGCGCGGTTCCCGGGCGTGCCGGCTCGCTGGTACATGTGGGCCCCGTACGGACGACACCACGGGCCTCATGGGTTATTCCTCTAATAGAACGACTCATCCAACGTGCATCGACCCAGACGGCATCGGTTTTTTTTTAAGATTTCTTCCTTCCTTCTTGAAATCATCCGAAGAAGCTTGTGTGTACGTCTCAAGATCTTTAGATGTTTTCCTTAAGTTAATGAGTTACCTCAGAATTTGCGACAATCATGAAACGAGTGTGACTTGATCTGTATGTAAAAGACCGTTTTATAACATACGAATCAGAAATACGTGTTGAAAGTAGAGATCTTGTTTGTTCCATGGTCTTATCGACATATTTTCCCGTAATCTTGACGAATTAGGACGATGTAGGTTTTGTCGATAATTCCGCAGATTTGCTCGCATACCCCTGGGACTCCACCGGAAGAGAGAAAATCGGGAAACACTGGGGGAGACAAGATAAGATAGAGGGTTTTTCTGCATCATGGCCCATAAGTTCCGTAAGACTGTCGATAGGAACGCAGGCAGGGGTTAGTTGGTAACCACTACCTCCCATTCCCATGTGCCTTTTTATCACAGACGCTGTCAATATGTCCGGAACTCCCTTGTGATTATCTGCCAGGATGCCAACTTCTTCCATAGCTGCTGCCAACCGCATAAATATTCCAAACGTTTATTCTAACGGCGTTTGTTCAAACGAGTCGATATGGCACATAGCGATATGGCGCTATGGTATCGAGTGGAATATAATGCCACCAAGTACAGAGTAGAGGCACCCTTGCTAGATGGCTTTAAGCAACGCTTTCAGTTAGATGTGCAAAGGTTAGATGTGGCAGGTCGTTCGGTGTAATATAACGAGCTTCTGCCGTGGCGCGTGCCTGCGAAGCTGGTGTGTTTCGCCAAAGGGCGGTTATACCAGCTATACTGATACAGATGCTGGTGTGTTACACTGAAGGGTGGTTCTACCGGCTATACAGATACAGAAGCTGGTGTGTTACGCCGAAGGGTGGTTATACCAGCTATACAGATACAGAAGCTGGTGTGTTACGGAGAAGGGCGGTTATACTGGCTAGGAAGTTCAAGATACAGATACTGACTCTGATGTGTTGCGCTCAAGGGCAGTTATACCGGCAATACAGATATAGGAGCTATACATATACTCCTACATATACTACTATAAGTAGGGCAAGTACAATATTTGGCTTTGATTTAGCCCGTTGTTTGGAAAGATAACTTGATTTCTTTTCTCCAGATACTTGGCGTGTCCTCTTGTACGGTACTCTGGGTACCCGATTGGCGTTTTTAAATGGGCCTCTTTCAAGAGGTGGCACCTTAGTCGATATATCATTATGGAGCTGTCAGATAGGAATAGATTTTCAATGTTATTGTGTTGTCACCGCATGTACTACGAACAAATCCTGTTCGTGTAAGCACAATGTTTGGAGTGGCTCCGAGGACGAATTTACATGTAAGATTATAATGTTTAACACGGAAGGACACACCGGGTTTATCTGACCAAGTGCTGATCGGTGTCCAATCATTCCGCGCCACTTCTCTGCGACAGCTTTTCAATTTCGGCGGTCCGCGTGATAAATGTTTTTTTGGTTGTCTGCATGGCAATAAGTTTGTACATCTTCAATTATATATTTCGGGCGCTGTTCGTGGGAGGACGGGTGGCTTATGACGGATTACGGAGTGATGCTGCCGAAATTGGGCCGAATTAGAGATGAATAGAATATAAAATAGCGAAGGGCCGGCCGGCTGCTCCGGGCTCGTTTCTGCTCTTCGGTTTGATTTATGTTCAAGTTCTTTTTATTAAAAAAAGGGAATATAGTGAGACGCCCAGGCTGCTGTAAACTGTAGTGTAGAGTACGCATTGATTCATGCACTGGCAGCAGGTACGTTGTTGTAGTGCTATGATTTGTTATAGGAAAAACCCTGACCATCAAATTTATCTAGCGCCAAACCCATCACCGTTGGAACAGGCATAGATACAGTAAAGGTATCTTGTCAACCCGCCTTTTTACTCTCTCTGTTACTGTTAACAGCCGGATATCTTTCGATTATTCCGTGTTGGAAGGAAGTGACTTACGATCAATTTTTGCCTAATCTACCAAAAGCGTCCTATCGCGATTCCCATCGATAGTTTCATCGTGGACATGGACGGGGAATTTCCTCTGGTCCCTTGCTGCCAGTAGGCAGCAGTATCAACAGGGGCCGCATGGGGGCATTCGTGTTCTATTGGCACGCCGCAGATTCCGAAAGCGTATCCGAGTGGCGGTCAGTCTGTTTACACGGAATACGCAAGAAGATCAGTGGAATGTACCGAAATACAGTATAATTTGATGAGTAAACTAAGATAATGTACACATGGCCCAGGGAAGAAGACAACGCCAGAAAATACCTCTCTCCCCCTACCCATCTCCCCTTGTCTTTTCTGTACGTAGAAACATCAGGTAGATTAGCTACAAACAATACATTTTTAATACATTTTAAATCTTTTTTTATGTTGTTGTATCTGTGTAGCCTTCTAGCATGATTTTGAAAAACTAAAAGTTTGAAAACTCATAAATGTTTCTTTAAGCTCCAGCCATTAACTGCTCCATATCGAGAGCTGTTCCCGGAGTGTGCGGAAGGATAAGGTTAGTACTTACCTGCTGTGAGGTTGGTGTTGAGATATCACAGACCAGGAGCGCGGCGATACGGCCGAACACGCCCCAGGCACGACCTCTGAAGGGACACCTCATACGTCTCATAGCCTCCAGTGTTTGTAGTGGGATCAACGATACAACGTTTGGGGACATTCGGTTTATTTGGGCGAAAATGCAGCGAAAACTGCACCTTGGGCGTATTCTTCCTCTAAACTGGTGTGAACGCATTCTTTGCGATGGCACGATGTGAATGACCGAGCGTTCTTGGGATAGTTGTGCATGAAATATTCTTTTTTTATTTCTGTATATTTACGGCGTCTCTACGGTCGAAGCTTTTCAATAACCCATCCCTACATTTTCATATGAGCGGTACTAGTTACACGAAAAGTGTTCTCTTAAAATCTTAACTCCATAGCTAGTTATGCAGACGAAAATGAAGACACGGGTGAGCAGAATACACCGTACACAAGAAGTGTTTTATTGTTCTTTTTATTGTTCTACGGTCACTACGATTGGGCTGTACCTTCGCTTCAAACACAATTCAAGGCTAAATCTAGCACTATCTTCAAATGTAAACTACTGTATCCTTATAAGTACAGCTAGCACAATTCAGACTCTGTTTTTCGCTTCAGACTCTTCTTTTCTTTGGGCTCTGAAGAGAAAGCTTTGTACAGAACAGAAAAAAACAACGGCGTTTCTCTTCTCAGCGTTTTCCGACAGCAGCTTCAGTGACAGCGTCCGAAACATCAGGTTCGGTACACTGGATTTCAGAGACCTTGTGCTACACTTCTATTACTTTATTGCTCCTAGCTGTCGGCGGGAAAACACAAACAAAACAATTACCGTGCCCACTGTGGCGGCACCAAAGGTTCACCCCCCTCTCTCTTGTACAGGATCCACGCGTTAGACTTCGCCCTGACGGCGAACCCTCCATGTTTGTCCATGAAACGTTTGATCCTGGAAGCTCCCTGGTCGTAGTGGTCACTGTTGCTGTCCTCGTCACCTCCGTAGTTGTTGTCCTTGTCATTGTTGTTGTTGTCGCTCCTTCGTTTGTACAGGACCCAGGCGTTCTTGTTGCCGAAGGGAGCTCGGATCCTTGCGGACAGATCCGCCGAGCGGCTGGTGACCACCTCGTCCCGCGGAAGCTCCGCCTCTCCCCCGCTCGCCTCTCTCCGGGACGTACCGTCAGACACGTGCCGCGGCTCCGGTCTGCCGTCCTCATGCCATCTGGAGGGATAAAGATTCAATTCTCATTCAATTTTTTCTTCATCCCTCAACATAGCATCGGAACCTAGAGGTCCCGGGTTCGAGTCCTGACATGCCATCGATCTTGTGCCCTTGAGAAAGGCACTTTACACGACTTTCCTCACTTCGCTCAGGTGGAAATGAGTATTATATTGTCCCCTGTGTTGGTGGCGACATTAAAATAAGTTGAAAAAACTTGAGTGTGCCATCACCACGCCTTGTGATTACATGTTGGAATATTAAAAAAAAACATAGCAGACGCATGAAAGCGGTACGCTGAATGGCGTAGATGTTAATAATCATTACAGTTTCTTTTTAAGTCTAACGGGTTCACAGAGTTCACTGACGAAGAAACAACAAAAAAAGACGTCCTCTGGATTTGAAGACGGACTTACGTAAAAACGCCTGTCTTTGATCAGGCCATGTTGATTTGATTATATGGATGACATCCGCGCGCGCATCAATTTTCGGCCGTTTACCAAAAAAAAGTTTTCAACCATGCTGTAAATCGTACAAAACAGTTGTAAAATGAGCAAATATATACTGTAAGTTGCACAAAAAATATTGGAAAATAATAACAATGTCGTAGAATGACGAAAATGTAAAGAAATGAATTTGAGGAGTAGATTATTCGCCATACCATACCCTGTGTCATTTGTTCAACCTTCATGAAGACGTAGATTTCATAATGAAAGCAACTTTTCTTTTTTGCAAAACTTTTTTTTTATTCGCACGCTCGCATCAGTTTTGGGGTTCCCAGAGGATGTCATCCATATAATCAAATCAACATGGCCTCAGCAAAAAGTAGCAAGGGCTATATCATAGGACCTGTGGCCATGTCGGCGACAGCAGGAGGGATGACATGACTGACGCAAGTGTCAATTTGGAAACCAATTTCTCCCATCACGTTGCCGTAACGACGTCTCTTTCAAATGAAAAACACAACATACATAGCCCGGAGGAACGCTTATGCCATTAAGGCTAAATCGAAATGAACTTTTATAACCGCAAATACAAGGTCCCTAGTTTTTGATATCTAAATAGCAAAGGAAGATTGGTTTTCTTTGTGCAACTAGATAAACCATAAGCTACATCTGTTCTTACACTTACAGCTGTCGTAAGAAGCGAGCAGAAGTTGAATCTGTACATAGTACTACATTTGCTCATGTAGAGGATGTTAATGTAACTGTAGCTAGAACTGCTTTATCACCAAGGTCCGCACTTAGCTTGTAAGATCCTAAACGCACAATTAAGATGCCCATTCATTTTAAAGGCATCCAATGCGATTTCAGAGCAGCAAAACTGGAAATATTCTGAATAAAGAAATCTTTATGATATTGACAAATACTGCTTCATATTAGCACATTTCGATCATTACTTTGGGTACTTAAAACTGGAGAAACAAGCCCCAAGATGAGTCCTTTATTTTATAGGAGGTACCCTAAAATCAGCCAAGGGCCCTTCCAGTAACCATTTTCCGTCGGAATTTTGGGTATTTTACTCCATGATGGTAAATATACATTGGGATAGTGTTGTTCCACCTCAGTATGTAGATAAGTGACTAGAATATTGACTTTGACAAATCGGGGTTCCAAACCCTAAAAACTGCATTGGATGCCTTTAAAAAACTGTTGCCTCCCCACCTTGTGTAGTCTGCCTGTCGCAGTTTCCCGTCCAGTACACCGCTCCAGTCCGCGGCCTGATGATGGCCGCCTTCTCTCTTGTCTGCCGCGTGCGACGTCACGTACTCAGCCGGCACACCTCTGGTGTAGGGCGGACTGGGCTCCCAATTCGTCACGTCTTTTGCAAACAGACAGAATAAAGTTTAGTCAATTTTATCAAACACAACACCCATAGTTAGAATTAAAGGTAAGGTGGGTTCGTGTGGCGTAACGGCAGAGTGTTCGACTCTGGTGTAGGGCGTCCGGCCAGGCGGACTGGGCTCCCAATTCGTCACGTCTTTGGAAACACAACAGAGTAGATTCTAGTCAATTTTATCAAACACAACATCCATATGTAGAATTAAAGGTAAGGTGGGGTCGTGTGGCATAACGGCAGAGTGCTCGACTCGGAACCAAGGGGTCCCGAGTTCGAGTCCTGACATGCCACCGATCTTGTGCACTTGGGAAAGGCACTTTACACGACTTTCCTTACTTCGCTCAGGTGAAAATGAGTATTGTATTGTCCCCTGTGTTGGTGGCGACATTGATATAAGTTGGAAAAACTTGTGCCGGCACCACGTCTTGTGATTAGATGTTGGAATATAAAAAAATAGATTTTAGTCAATTTTGTCAAGCACAAGATTTATAGATACAGATAACGGTAAAAGGTAATGGCAGTCCCATAGCCTTGTTGAGGCCGTAAGAGCAGTGGGTTGTTGATCCACTGTGTCTAAAGAGCCCATTCCTCTCCTTCCACCGTCGAAACAGCCATACGTCAGTTTTTAGTCAATTCTATTACGCACAGCACGCGGATTTAGCCACTTCGCTCTCTTACTCTTTTGTCATCCTCAATTGAGGTGAAGCATGATACTTTTTCGTTAGCTACCAGTACAATGCGGCTTCGCTACAGCTCGTCTCAGTATTCAGCCAAACACCGGGTCACACTACTCTTCTCGATATCAAAAGTGTGCTGGGTTCTTTTACGTACAAAAGTTTGACGCTATTACAATTAAGGGGCTGCCGGCTTTACGTCCCCATCCGAAAAGACGATGCGACTCGTTTCCAGTCATGTCTAGACCCAGATTTAGCAACGGCATAATGTCGAAGATGGAAAAAGTTAAGATGTGAAGTTGAATCTCAAGTTTGTACTTACGTATGTCCCCGGCCGCACAGCTGTCCACAGACAGGCCTCCCAGAGACATGATCAGTACCCAGCACATGGCAGCGGCCTGGAGAGGGCAGAACAACGGGAGAAACATGTCGTAAAAGGCTTTCTTAAACCTGGCGAGACCCGTGTGTGTACAAACGGTTCTCAAGTTTTCCGGTACTCAATGCTCTAGGTGAGATTGAGTTGGAGATCTATGTACGCGTCTTCTGGTACTTAATTGCTTTAAGTGTGATTGGGTTCGTGTGCTACATGCCCTGCAGCACGTCTGCACAGTATGATCCACCTGGCGTGACGTCAGATGTCGTATGATGACGTCAGAGGACGTATGATGACGTCAGAGGTCGTATGATGACGTCAGAGCACGACCTTCAATTTCGTTGGTACTAAAATAATAATAATTGTACGCAAACGGTTATCAAAGAAAGCAAAACGGAAACCGACGCCACACGCTACATGAGCTATGGCGCCAGTTTCTTCTTTAATGTTTCATGCACGACAACATCTATATTAAACAAGAGAACGAGAAATACCCATGCCTTCAAGTACCAGAGTTATCAACCAAGGATTGAGGTGTTCAAGAATTCATTATTTCCTAGAACTATCGCAGAGTGGAACTCGCTATCACCAAGTACAGTAGGGGAATTGTCATTAGATAGCTTTAAACAATGTCTAGAGTTAGATGTTCAAGGGTTGGGTGTAACAAGTCGATCAGTGTAATGTAGCCAGCTGCCGCCGCGCCGCGTTCCTGCGAAGCTGGTGTGTTACGCCGAGGGGCGGTTATATCAGCTATGCAGATACAGATATCATTTTATTGTTGTAACGTCTTTCTAGTGCATTGTACATTGTACATCCCTGCATTAATATCCCTCCGGGAATGAACGTGCAATAATTAAAGATTCATTATTTGCCTAAGCTATTCATAGAACCAGACGCTAGAGTATGTAGGTCCCTACTACATGATATCTGCGATGAGGACAGGGACTTATTCTACCCACCGCGCCATCCCTCCGCATCGAAAACACTTCAAGTATGACGGAACTATCATCTCCCAATCTCCATTTATATCCACTACAAGGATCGTTCAGCAGACCCTGCAGTGTTTAACCATTGATCTGATAGGCTACTCTCCAAGCAGAGGTTGTGGGGAATGATCGTTAGGTTTTTATATATGGCCCTTTTTTGTCGGTACCCCCACCAACCCGTCGGTGGCCGGCGACCTTCTCTGGCTAATGGATACTGCCTGGCCAATGCATTTGATACTGTCTTTTTGCCACCGAAAGGGGTCTGCTTGGAGATTACTGATAAGCCCCCTTCTATCGAACTGTTGCAACAGAGCAAGATACCCTAAGCTGACATGGGGAAGTTTCCATACAGGGTGAATGGATATGTATCAGATTCAGATTCAGCGTTATCTGTCTTGGCTTCGCGTGTCGACATTATATAAAACCTGCACATGGAGTGCGCCAACATTTGCACAAAGAGGAATTCGGAAATCCATAAACCACATATTGAACATATTGATTGCAGTATCAAAAATTTACACGGTATTTATAGAACAGTACAATACAATAAATGGGGACATTAGCTGTATTTACGGTAGAGCTGTTTTAATGATTTCGGACTAAAGGAGAGTTCATGATCATGTCTTTTAGTTTTACTTCTCTGCCCGGTAGCGACCTTTTCTTCGAAAACTGTAGCAATATAGTCCTGATGTGGGACAATGAACTAACTCAATGGATAACTACTGTCCTGAATAATAAAGTTCTGAGAGTTGCTGTATCATATCTCTATCTCCATAACCCGTTGCAAGTATATATCGTTCAGTAAGGCCCCCACCCCACCATTTATTTGCAAAGCTTCTTCCAATTTTGCCTATTGAGCCCGATCAGTAAGGCCACGGCGCCCCGCGTCTGGTATAAAGAAAGTTCCGAAAAATAAAGTTCTCAGAGTTGCTGTATCATATCTCCGTCTCCATACATAACCCGTTACAAATATTGTTCATCAACAAGTCCCATCATTTATTTCATACGTTTCTTTATCGAGCTGATAGAATAATCTCCAAGCAGATCCTTTTTTCGGTGGCAAAAAGACAGTATCAAATTGGCCAGGCAGTATCCATTAGCCAGAGAAGGTCGCCCGGCGGCCACCGACGGTTGGTGGGGGTAGCGACAAAAAGGGCCATATATAATGCTGAGGTCACATTTCCAAACCGGGGCCCGCCGGACAATCGTATGGAACGAAAAATATTGTATTAACGACAACAAAGCACAAAAACGATGAAAAACATTAATAATTGAACTATTTGCATATATTCTTGATAAAATTTGTTGACTTTTCGTTAATCGGAAGAGCCCGGTCGGGCCCCGGCTTGGAAATGTGACCTCAGCATAAAAAGCTAATGGTAATTCCCCTACAACCTCTACTTGGAAAGTACTGATAGAAGTCTTCCCATGTGAACAGGATCACACAGGGCAGGGCGCCCCGCATCTAGCTCCGACGCGGAGTCACCTAAACTTAAATCACAGTCTAGACAAATGTCTTGCCGTTACAGGTGTGCATTACGGCCACTTAAGGGCGAATAAACCTGGTCTAACCACAGACACAGGACGCGCCTGCTGAGAGAGATTTATCAGCCTTCCGCTGCCCTAACAATTAGAGAGATTAACCCTGACCCTAATCCCATATAGGGTAAGTACCGTCAGGTCTTTAAGTTTCAAGTGGTATCAATCTAGCTCCTTAAGATCGGGACCCAATACATCGTCTTAAACCTACCACGGATTCTTTAAAGCTACCACTGTATTCCTTGTGTGAACTGGTCATGAAGATCTAAATCGTGTTGTTTAAACGATCATAAAAGGAGATTTGGAAGATAAAAGATTGCGTGATTTGAATTCAATTTCTGACAAGTGTTTCCCACCAACCTACAATCTACAGGCTTTCAAATCAAACGTTCACCGCCATCTCTTGACATAGCCATGTTCTCTCATCTTTCTAGTTCAATGCCGAGAAGTGGTCGTATAGGCCTTGCATTGAACCACTCCGTTAAAAAAAATTGAATTGGAAAGCAGAATGCCTGGTCAATAGGCAGGCCCCCTGCTTCCGGTTTGGTTTCTATGGCGGGAACGTCTTTTTTTATTTCGATTTATCTATTTTCACATTCGCTACACAATAGTGAGGCGGGTGTCAGAATGCGGTGGCTATTAGTCGTTAATATGGTATGTGACCCAGAACCTTCGTTTTACGCCGCTAAATTTTGCAGGCTTGGCAGGTGAGCAACAATTCGCCCTCTTAATAGAACTACACAAACCATGTATTATTAGCTCCGTACGTTCAAAAACCATGATGAGAATTTGCCACCTCAGGTGGTACCGATATCTCTTCTGGCCCATGGACTAATACATCTACAACTGCCTCAACAAGCGAGAGAAGTTTAACCTGTAAATAGTAATTCACATTAATATGTATAGTTTTAGTAAGATACTAATGTAATCTTTACCTCTGCTTTACACATGACCTAGTACCTGTACTTAGCCAGTAAGAGCAAAAACCTACGATAAAGGTCTTTCATTCATTCATTGATCCATTCATTCATTCATTCATTCATTCATTCATTCATTGATCCATCCATCCATTCATTCATTCATTCATTCATTCATTGATCCATCCATCCATCCATTCATTCATTGATTCATCCACTCATTTATCCATTCATCCATCTATTCATCCATTCATCCATCTATTCATTCATTCATTCAATCATCCATTCATTCATCCATCCATCCATTCATCATTCATCCATCTATTCATTCAGTCATTCAATCAATCAATAATTCATTCATTCATTCATTCTTAACGGTGTATATAGGTTCGGAGAGACCTTGGCTCAGCGCCCTGTTTTTCCTGCTCCCTGTTTCACTCGCCCTCCTGTTCCACGGTTAACGAAAGCAAACGGACCTACAGAGACCAATTACCGACCCCTCATCTACTCCGAGCCGCGAGAACTCACAAGTCCGAACCCGGCTAACGAATAACAAGTCTTCTGAGGATTAGGAATGTAGGAGATGCCTGATCGCTCAAGTGGCAACTCTGAAAGATTGGGTTTGAAGTTTTGGCCGAGATTTCTGGTTTATAGAACGAGAACTCGGTTTTTCATGAAGAGTAATTTTACTGGACACTATCAGTACACGGGTCAACAAGGCAGTCGAAACTGGTAGTATATGACCCACAAATACAGACGTTATACAAACATAAAAAATAAAGAAATGTAACTGTAATTCTGAAATTCTAAGCGTACTGTTCAATCACTCCGGCAATGTGAATAATTTGATTAACCTAGACATCGTCGCCTTTGTTCCCGAGGTTCCCATATGGCCATACTCAGTCCCTATGTTTCATTTTTAGGGAGCTAGTATTGGAGCCCACGACACGATGCAACCACTGCCGAGCAGGCCCCATGACTTCTTATCCCTTGAACAAACAATGGACTTAAACTTGGACTTTGAAATTATCTTGTATGTTGATTTTAGGCTCAAATTTGATTTGTAATATTTAGAACTGAGACATCCTGTTGTATGCGCAGTTATGTCATAGTCTTATATGACGGAGTAACAGTAAGTATTGGAGCCCAGCAAACCAGTAGGATGGCCCATGGTGCAACCGTCGTTCTATTGAAGATGATGCTTATAACTTAAAACAGGTGTGTCGAGCAGCTAAAGCAGAGGTGTAGAACTTGTACCTATCGGCCACGGTACTAATAACCCAACAAGACATAGATACTAGTGATTATAGCCTGGTTTCGTTCTCAGCCTGTGTTGCAGACAGTTGTACTGAAAAAAAACATGAGCCAGATTTTCTTGTGTAGCTGTACTGTTTGCTCATTTGTAAATCCGGTGTTACATATGACTGTTGTTGATATGTTTTTCATCTTTGTGGCTACAATTCCGAAAAACAATATTCACCTAATCAGTCTGAAAGTTGATGGTAAAACAAATTGCCAATGACATAATGGTGACTCGTCTAATCGATGTTATAATGGAAGTAATGGTTCAAGACAAACAAACG